ATGGTAAAAACATTAATATCAATAATTGTTTCCATCCTTATATATATTAGACTTAAATGGCCAAATTTTGAGGGTTGATACATAATTGATGGAGAAAAGAAATGGAAGAATAGCTAATTTCTTCTTCTGGTCTCTGATGGAATGGACTGAAGCCAGGAAGACATGTCTTTGCTCTTTATCTGACAAGGACCAGCCTTATTGATAAGGCAATGGATGAATTTAAGAAGTACTAGGGAGTTCTGTTTTCCTCAAATACAGACCTTAAAATACATGAAATGCTGCCTCTTCCCATTGCATTAAGGTTATCAAAGAGTATCCAATGGCTTTCAGAAAGCTTAATTTTCTTAATGTATGTGAAATCAATGTGAACAAATGGCAGTTTTAATGGGGGAGAATCAGAATTACAAAAATGAGTCAGAGATAATTTTAGAGCCCTGAGTAAAGTCGATAGAATGAATGAGGAGAGACATCTTTTCTCAAGTCTCTCTGCTTTAGAATATCTGAACATGGTGGCATGGCTGAGAGAGAGGAATACTATCAGGAAAAAAAGGTACCAGGAGACAGAAGCATAGGAAGAAAAACGGGAAGGCAAAAATAAACTGATTATTTACTCCTATTGCTTATGGCAGCTCTATCCCTCTCCATCCTCCCAGAAGCCAAATTGGAGAAAGGGAGTCAGCAATTTGGGAGAGATGGTAGTTGAGGTGGATCTTAATGAACTAATGAAGGAAGAGCTGAGAAAAGGGATCAAACCGGCTGAACTCTTACCAATCATATACTATTTTCAGATCACAATGTTTGGTACTGTAGGACTCCATTGCTAGGTAAGGTGTAATGGATTCAAGGAGTATACTCTTAATGATGGACAGATATGTTCATGGATACTGGGTTGAGAGTGAATATATGGTAAGTGAATTTAGCGGCCATTCTAACAACACAGAGGAAGTAACAATTCAGGATAAACCTATGCAGAGAGTGCACAGTGTGTTCAATGTAGAGTAAGTTTAGTTTGTTTATGAAATAGAAGGCATGGAACATTAAGCTTAGTTGTGGAAGATAAGACTGAGGAGGATGGTTAAACGCAGTGTGAAGAGGTCATGGACAACCAGACTAATAGTTTATGCTTAATTCAGTAGGCAATGAGGAGTTCTTTTTTTTTTAATGCACTGTTAAAAGATAAGTCCAGTGGGAGTTGTGAGGAGAATTCAACTGCATAATAACATTAAGTAGGAAAACCAGTTAAGATGTTATTGCAATAGTCTAGATGAAAGACAGTGATGACCTCAAAGGGATAGTTATGGGAGTGGAAAAAAAGTGTCAGGCAAGAGTAATGACACTCAATCTTTTGTGTACAGTTGGAGGAATTGTTAAAACATAGATTGCTGGGCCCACATTGAGAGATTCTGACTCAGTAGGTCTGGGGTAGGGCCCTGAAATTTACCTTTCTAACATTTTTACAGGTAACATTGATGACAATGGTCTAGAAACCACATATTGAGAACCACTGGTCTAGAGACATTGAGAACTAGCCTAGAGTTAAATTATTACATATCAGGGCCAAGAACATGATGAATTCAAAAATGACTCAGCATTCAACTGATTGAATAGGAAAGTCTGCATATGAGCATAAGTAATAAAATATGTGTCAATATTTATCATGCGGTACTATTTAGTTTCAAAAGAACTTTGACCAAACAGCCTTTATC